AAAAAATATAGTGAAATTTTGAGTTCGTGCTGTTGATGTATTTGCTGTATCTTTAAATCAACAAAATAAATAGTTACGGAAAAATTCTATTTAATTTTGACGTCATCGGATATAATGAATCTCTGTGAACTAAGAATGTTAGTCTCCAGAAGTTCACTATAACTGGAGTTGACTGTATGTTGTATCTGGGATTCCCCAGTTTTTAATCTGACATTTACGATAATTTTCACACGCTTGAAGATGTTTTGAAACTTTTCTAGTAACCCTTTAACTGGTTCTACGTAAAATCTTTTGTACTTATTAACCCATTAGTGCCCGGTGGTAACGTCGAATAATTTGTTCTAAATTCGCAAAATTGATTTTTGATTATTGTATACTGCAATTTCATACTTCTGATCTTCCGGAGAGGGTTATCTGTTTTTCTTTGGATTAGGTTCAGTTGTATGTCATTTCTCGGCATGCGCGCGTGCTGAAAACTTACTACAATGCAAGTTTTCTCTTGCATGTAATTACTTTTTGTGTTCATGATATATTTATAAATAGTAATGCATCCAGGAACAGATTTAGAAAAATATTTGTGCAAAAATATTTGTTTTCGTTAGAGTAATCTAAATGTTTTGCAACGTAAGTTGCCACGGACTCATTCAATGTCACAGTTTGAAAAAAAAATATTTCCTAGTAATCTCACTTGCCAAGATTTAAAATTTTGTGTGACATTGTATAATCACGAAATTTCAATGATTTATTTTGGGTTGCCCGACTTATATTTTGACAGGTTTTCTTGAGGTAGAAATGGGATGGTTTGCTCTTGCATGAAGTGCTAGAACTTTTTGGAAATGAAAGCTTGTGTCCAGACAATATCGCTATTTGTCCGCCAGATGAACATTATAATGCTGATCCGGACAAAGATTCTGACAACTCGGATGAGGTATTTTGTGAACCTGATCATCTTCCTGCCCGTATTTTGCGCTCTCAAAACAATTTTACAATTTTTAAGAAACGTAGAAAGTAATCGTGGGCAACGTGGAAGATGGCGTCCGAGTAAGTAAAGAAACCGCTTCAAGGAGCTCAAACTCGGACACCAATTCTTCGCAGTCAAAAATCAAAACGAACATCCTCTATCGAGTGGTATGAAAGCAACGTCCTGTCACACAGTATTCCTGAGATGGAATTTGAGTTTCATCCAAATGCGGAAGATTTCGAGAAGAATGCAGTAAGTTGACCTGCCAATGCTTATCAGGCTTATTTCAGCAAGTATCTTTTAGATAACATTGTAACTGAAACAAACGATATGCAGGTCATGATATCTACGTCACTTTATAAGTGTTTCACGTGATGAGATTTTATGCGTTGTTGGCGTTATGCTTTTCTCCAGCTATTATTGCCTCCCTTCAAGAAAGCTTTATTGAAAAACTGATTCCGATGAACATTAACCCATAGTTGCAAAAGCAATCCGTCGAAATAGTTTTGATCCAGTCATATGTGTACTACATCTAGCGGACAAATCTAACGATGGGGCAGTGACTGGTTATACAATGTGTGACCTCTCTTTGATATTATGAATTCCAATTTCAAGCAGGTGAATCCGGGTCCGACAGCATTTACGAATGCATTATACCGTACTATGGCAGACATGGGGCCAAGCAATTCGAGGGAAGCCGATAAGATTCGACTTCAAAGTCTGGGTAGCAGCTGAGGTAATGTTCATCATGCCGAACCATACTGTGGCGCTTCTACTTGCTTACCCAATGCAGCCTTAGGCCAAGGAGCAGACGTGGTTTTAGGACTTTTGGAACATTTAGATACAGAAAAAAGTTATTAGACTCTAGTTATAAAAATTTGTTCACATCTGTAGCACTTCTACAAGAACTTGCATCACATGGATTAGAGGGTACAGAAACTACGAGAGAATAGTCGGTCACATGAAGTTGTGTGGCAAGAAACATAGGAAAAAGCAATGAAGAGGAAGTATGGTAGCATCCTCAAATTGGAATCTGCTTGTAGTAGCACGCTGGAACGACAATTATGTGTCACATTTCTCACAAACTGCGATGGAGTTCATCCAACGATTACTGCCGGACGGTACTCACGCGCAGAAAAGAAACATCTGTAAAAATACCAGGACTAACAGAGAAACAAAAAATGAGGTGTGATAAAAAATTACGGTGAATGAATGTTTATAGCGGCAGCTGCTGACGCTTCATTCATATGCTGTATTTTGTCCAGTAGCATGATCAGCTGAGACAAGCAGGGGCAAGTTGTAATACGTTCGAACTTGAGTCAACTACCAGAGCCGCTAGAGTGAGATTGTCTGTGTCTGTTGCGCAACATGTATTTCGAACAAAGAATTAACATTGTTTTGTTTTAAGTTGCAAAAAAATGCCAAAAAAGCTCATGAAAAGTTAAAATTAGTGTCCGGCAATAATGTGGTAAATGAAGAATGTGTACACGTGGTATGACCGATTTAAAGACGCAAGTATGTTGTAGACGAGCAGCTTGCGGGACGTCCAGTAACGTCAGAAACAGATGAAAGTGTGCAAAAAAGGAAATAATGGTTCGTTAAAACAGGCGAATGACTATTCGAGAGCTATCGGAAGACCTTAACATCTCGTACGGTTCCGTTCAAAGCATTTTAGATAGATGTATTTCGGCAGGTAGGTATACAACGTGGTAGCAGAACACTACAATTTACATATTACAACTAAGAATAGTAATACACAGTAATTTTAAAGCATTTTAAG